CCTGCCGCGATGGGACCCGCAGGCGGGACGCTTTGAGGCTGAGCTTAGTGTGTATTTATTTATTTGTGAATAAACTGCGCTGGTGTCAATTGGCAGTTTCTCTTTTTGCGTGGATGCAAAGCTCCCACCCCCTCCTCCAGGGAGCATAGGAGAGGTGGGAGGGTTTCTTGCCATCTTCAGCCCCCAGAGCACCTGGCCCCAGCACCTCCTGTTCAGACGGGCCAGCCTGGAGCCGGGAGGCAGGCGCTTCCTACGGGAAAGTGGCAGGAAACAGAGTCTGTCCATCTTTTCTTTGAAGCTGGTGGGGGCTGGAAAAAACCAAAGGATCTCTAGAAAATAAATACATCTCCATCAGTGAGTACTGACTCATCGGGGCCTTTACACATTTTATACCCAAATAACCTTTTTGCAGAAGCCTAAACTGAGGGTCAACCCTCCAGCGCGAGCAGGATTTTGTCAGCTCCATCCATTCTGGGGACTTCGGGGACGCCGGATCTAAGGGGCCATTTCCCATGTCCCGAGCCCTTTATTCCCCTGGTGCTGGAGCATCCTGGCCTGGACGCTGGGATTTTCCCGTCTTCCTTCGCTCCCGCATGGTTTAGGGACATAAAATAAATGAGCCCATCCTGAGTTTATGGAACCTTGACCTCCCAGAGGCAGAGGCCCATCTAACTGCATTCACGTCCACCCAGCTGACCTAGAACCAGGCCAAGCTGCCACACCCCTGTCTATGTTGGCTGGATTCAGATTAGGGAAGGGATGTGTGGGGAAGGGAGGCTTGAGGCCAGGAGCCTGGCTTGGGCCAGGGGGTCTGGTGAGGAGCCGGTCCTGGCCAGTGAGGTGGGCAGGGGGACAAATCCCTGTCCAAGGGTCCCTCAGCCTCTGCGGACACCTGCTTCTCCCCTGCACCCCCTCAACCTTCTTTGAAACACAGGACTTGGTATTGCTTTAGTGAGATGTAATTTGTATACCATAAAAAGTTCACCCCTTTAAAGTATATTTGAATGATTTTCATATATTCAGGGAGTTATGCAGCCATCACCACTAATTTTTTTCCAATATATATTTTTATTGATTTCAGAGAGGAAGGGAGAGGAGAAAAATAGAAACATCCATGATGAGAATCATTGATCAGCTGCCTCCTGCACGCCCTCCACTGGGGATCGAGCCCGCAACCCAGGCATGCGCCCTTGACCGGAATCGAACCCGGGACCCTTCACTCCACAGGCCGATGCTCTATCCACTGAGTCAAACCAGCTAGGCCATCATCACTAATTTTAGAACATTTCATCACCCCCCCAGAAGGAAACTCTGAAACCTGTATAAGTTTATTAGCCAATGCCACCCCAATACATTCAATCAAAACAAAATCTTGTTTCCATTAGCAGTCACTCCCCACTATTCTGCTGTGCCCCAGCCCCAGCCCACTGCTCTACTTTGTATAGAGTTGCCTTTTCTGAACATTTCGTAGGAATGGGCCATAGGATATGTGACCTTTTATGTCTGGCTTTTTTCACTTAGCGTGCGGTTTTAGGTTTCTTTTCTTTGCCCAGGAGTATTCCATTGTATTTATAGACCACAGTTTATTTACCTGTTGATGTTGATGGGTTTGTCTTGCTCCTGCTCAGGCCAGGAGG